ATGGGTAAATGCAAAGAACATTGAAAGTTATTTTTAAATACATGAGCAGTGAAAAAAAGGCAAAAAAAAAAATAAAAAAATAAAACAAAAAGTGACTACAAACACATATCGCATGAACGAATATAAAAAATATTTGCCCGAGGTACATATACACATATATATATCAAAAGAGAAAACCAAAAAAAAAAGCACACACATTGAACGAGCAAAATATGCAGATTAGCTGCTTTAAAAGTTAAACACTAACTAAACAATAAATTTTCAATAAATACATACATATGCACATAAGCATAACGCACACCATTAAAGCAAAAAAACAAAAAACGTACGAGAAATTAAATTGGAGATAATTTTGAGTTGATAGGGAAACTGCATTGATATAACGGGTTTTCATACCCGGATAACCGTTTATAAATTGTATTTACATTTAATGTTAACGTTTTACGTACAAGTGACAATCCCTAACCTATTGGCCATGTGAAAAAAATAGGAAATAAAAACAGGTTTATTTCCGATATTTGCAAACAGCACAGGCTTCGAAGATTCGATAACGTTGGGAACACGTTTGCGAAATTTTTCTTCCAAATCAATGACTAAATGACCAACATTAAACCCGTGGGAAGTGTAATCGGAACATTGGGACGTATTAGTGAGTGACGTTAAGGTGGCATAGGAGATACATTGACATTATTCTTCTCATTGTTTTCCTTTTTGAGGTTTCTTTCCATTGCATCGTTAATTTAAACATTATTTCCAAAGATTCATCATCTTCAGCCTTTCCGAATCGAAATCGCAAGTAATATCCTGCGAATGACTGAAAAGAAGAACGAGGGACTTTTTGTTTGGAAAACGAGTTCTGAAGAATGTATACGAACGTAATAACTACTAAAATACATCAAGATCCCTAGACGGTAATTACTTAAGAGATATATTCTTCCAAGTTGATACGGACCGAACTAGCTGACCCGAAGGTGAAACCAGAAGAAAGTAAGCATTATGAGGTACATATTTCGCATGACCCTGTGGACAAAATTTTAATACCATTTTAACGATCTCGAAGACAATAGGGTTAGTAGGGTATACGACTAGCCCGATCTCGCCCTTTACTCCGCTTGAAAATTTAATAGGATTCGGTATACTTTCATGACTTGTAAACATTCCTTTTCATTATAGATCTACGAAAACAGAAGTTTCAAAATATTTCACTGAAAATTAACGAGCGATAGAATATACGGGAATAACCCCGTTCCCTTTATCAGTATACGCACATAGCCAGTAAAAGCTACTAAATTATGCTACAGTTATTCATGTTACGGCTTTTCGAAATGAGGCATTAGATGTGAAGCAGTCGAAGAAATGGTCCGATCCGAACCATTTTCTTTGGGCAAAACTTTAACAATTTATCTCAAATATTGCCGCAGGTACGTTGAAACACAAAAAAAAAAAGGCCTCATAGGTGTGAGATTATGTCCGCCACGTTTTCGCATTGTATTCCTACAACTGCGACCTATAAAAGCTTAGCATGGGTATCTGGTTAATGAGCATTGTGTTCTCACTATACACTAACAATGTCGTTTTCAATTTTTATGCCCTCATTTGAAGCGATAGGCCTTCAAAATTATAACTTTGCTTTTTGTCAGATTGGCTTACGATAGCATTTGTCTGATTGCGAAATCCACCCACGCATTTACATGCCCTGTGATACCCAAATCGCTTCAGAACCAACGAGTAGGGAATAATAAGACTTACATCATCAACTTAGGCTACGATATCAATTCCCTGATGAAACAACAGAAAGAAAAACGTTGAAGGCCATATTAAAAGCATTTTAGAACAACAACGCAACAGATAGCTGGACAACTTAATGCCCCCTAAATCGTACAAGTGTTCATTGAACTCGTCAAGGGGAAGGCATATGTTAGCTGTGTGCTAGCCAAAGATGCAATTTTTGAGAAAGAAACTATGGCTTTCCAGGCGTTCCGGTTCGTTTCCCTTCATTCCTTATTATGCTAAGCGACCTTCTTCTTCAAGATTCCTAACCGGATGCCATCGGACGATGATTTCGATCGGTTCAGATTATGTCATATAACGTAAGTAGCTATTAAGTGATTGTTGTATCTAATTTTTCGATTTAATTTCACATTTTTTCCTGCACTCATAGCGATTACTTAATAAATTCGGTTCACATAAAGTGGATCGGTAACAATCAACCTTTGTGCATTCTTTAGGTTTGGTAAAACACCCACCTATATGAAAATTCTCTCGTTAAAACAAAGTAAGCGAATATTCGCTTAAAAACAAAAAGACCAACAACAACAACAAAAACTGGAATTGTATAATTATGCAAATTCGTGTGTAAAGCAATTTTTGTTACAGTTTTCATTGAATACCTTTGAAATTTGGTATTTTATCTACACACAAACATACACACACAAACACACACACACAAACAAATGTACATATGCAAATTCACATATATGCGCATACTCACATTTACATTTATATTTCACACCTTATACAAAACGAAATGAAAGCTTTAAAACGCTCTACTACTCTACGGCAGTCCGTTGAAACATATCAGGTACACCAAGAAAATAGGTGAAAAAAAAACAAGAAAGGATCAATGAAAATGAAAACTAAAAATTTGCATAAATACCGTCCTACAAAGAGTAATAGGATAGCTTAACAGGAGGTCAAATTTAAAACTAAATTTTCTCTAACATTTCCATAAAATAATTTCCTTATTTTCCTTTTTTCTTTTTTCATCAATTTTAGTAACAACATGTTTGGTATCTTTTAATTTACTTCAAAATGAATTTAATAGCTGCATAGCAAGCAATAAGAGCAAACTTGAGCACTCTGGTAATCTACAGTTAGGCATCATTTATATGTTATTACTAGGTTCTAATATTATTTATACTAGGGTTATAAATAAGTTTGTACCGGTTTTTTAGTAAAATGGAAGGTATATTACACACAAAAAAAAGGGGTAGGATATATTTTATACCATGCATTGGTCATCTCTATTTCTTCCATCTTTTAAATAGGATATCAATACTAGAGGGAATAGACAATTAAAATTTTAAAGCTTCGCACAGAAAGATCGAATTTTTAAGTATCGTCGTAAACAGAACTTGGTCTCTTCAAAGATCTTAACAACATATAGAACTGTGTTCTATAGAAGAGTATGAAACTATTATTGAATTACGTTTTCCGTGAAGTTTAAAGACAACACATTCGAATGGAATTTTATTCGCTACCTCTTTGTGCCAATTGTACTAGCAATGTCCCAATGCAAGCTTTTACAAAAAGCAGAGAGAGAGAGAGAGAGAGAGAGAGGGGGCAAGAGAGAGGGAAAATTACAATACTTTTGGATACATCACCGAAAGATGAAGTGCATACCTTTGCAACGCCGAGAAGGAAGCAAGCCTTCGAAACTACAAAAAGTATGCATACTTTTGATCAGAATCAAATTATTAATAGATTTACTCAGGTCCGTCTATCAGTCTGTCATAAAAGTTCCCCTTCCCGCAAAAATGAGACCATCAATTTCGAATTTGCCAGAAACAATGGATGTTTTTGCATGGAGTCTGGCATTGAAAATGAGCCAAATCGGTCAAAGGATGCGTCTACAGCACCGCGTAAACTGACAACAGCTGTATTTTTCAAAAGTAATCAAATATCTCGTAATTAGATCATAAAAATCTACAAAAATTTTAACATATATTCCATAGGCGATGCTATAGCACATGTACAAAAATGGGAAAAGTTGACCACGCCAACGATATATTATAGAGTAGCAAAAATTTAATATCTTTTAAAATCTTTACAACGCGCAGAATCAAGTTTCAAAAACCCCATAAAGTAAATAAATGCTTGGCCAGTTTCGAATTTGGAAAGCACCTAAGCATATCGATGTCCATCTGTGCATCTGCCCATTTGTGTAGTATCTGTAGTAAACATCATTTTAAATTTTCAGATTCAATGGCTCAGAAGCCTTGTAGCTGCAGCCTGGGTCCAACACCAACCATTGTAAAAGGCGTATATGGTATAAAATACCTACAAGATGGCATATAGAATACGACACGAAATACCAAATTTTTTACCAAACTTGAACGTTATAAAACTTACTTAATTTAATATGATGATTACTGAAAATTCAATCCAAATAAAACACAACTCATCCCTCATTGTGTCCTAAATTTGTAAATCCACATTACTCAACAAAATCGTAGGGTGGCATATAGATATAGGATGAACACTGATCAATCCACATGATATTTAAATAATACCAATCTTTGCATTAAATGTGAGTTGACGGTACACATTTCATTGTTTTACAAAACCAAAGGCAGCGCTACTTAACGCACTGTAACTGATAAACTAATGATTGGAATATTGTCAAGCTTCGACATATCTATCTAAAAACCTTCTTCTTTTTCTGCAAGTCAGGAAACCTACAGCAGACGGTTCATGCTCTAAAAACCGTTAAGATTCAATAGTGGAGATCTCTGCATATCGTCCTGCAAACTTAGTGATATATCATATTACCATGGAATATATAAAGCCACAATTTGACACATATATTCTTAAATCAAACCAAGAGATTAAGCTTTAAACTGTTTACTGCGCAACCGTAACGTATTCCCCCATTTAGGCTAAAGATTGTTTACAAGGTCTATATAAATTTCTTACAAATTGCTGATCAAAATCATGAAAAACAGAGCTGTAGACATCCCAAGGCTGACTCTGAAGCGAATCATTCATCCAAGATAATATGTGTTATGCTATCCATTTATTTATCGTTAGAAGAGCAGTAAATTTCTCTAAAAAACATTTACAGAAAAAAATAATTTAAAAATGGGAAAAAAAGGCCAAATATGCTTCTTAGATAGAGCCGAAGCGCCTTTAGCATCCTTTGGAGATTAGCTGGGTTTTGAGTCATCTTATCACATATTATATGGCTTTTCATCTTCTTGTCCATTTGCGGCTTTTACTGATCATTTTGCGGGATCTTTGGGTGTTGGCTCACTTGGTGGCACTTCAGATGTTGATTTTCCTTTACCTTCTGGACTATTTCCTGCTGTTATTTGCTTCGTTTCAGCTTTTGTTGGAGCCTTTGGTTGCGTCTCCATTTTGGGTAGCTGTTCCTCCTCCTGCACGTGCTTCTTTTCTTTTTCCTTTTTTCCTTTCATTAATGACTTTGGCGTATCCACTTCTGCTTCTATCTTGTTTACCGGATCTTTTTCTGATGCCGCTTTCATTATCATATCGGTCTTTATTGCTTCTTCTTGTGCCGTATTTTTCTTTTCTGGACACAGTTTTTCCGGACCTTCTTTTTCATCAGGTTGATCTTCGTCACTAGGCACATCACCGGGAAGAGCGGGACCTGGTTTCTGTTCATCCTCCGTAAACGGCCAAAATAAAGGTAAATTATTTCTTGGTATTAAATCGGCAATGTCTTCCCTTTCTACGACAAACTGTTCCATTGTCATGTCCTCGTACGGTGTCATCTCACTTAAGCGTCTTATTTCGGCTTGATAAATCGCAATCTTATTATTAGATTGTGTAAGAAAAGCATCAATTCTTTGCTAAAATTTTATACGAAATTTAATTCACACAAAATAATTTTATAAGAGAAGAATGATTAGAAAATGTTTACCTTAATATCGGCCGAAACTTTTTCCCAATCAGTATAATATTGGCTGAAATCTAAATTATCATAACGAGTAGCGAAACAAAAGTCAAGTTCCTTATAATGTATCTCGAATTGTTCAACCGACTGAACAAAATTTTTCGATACATTAGCGCGATAATAATTCCAATCTATACGTGGCAATTGATCCGGATACTTATCTACTTCACTTAAGCCATTCATAAAAAAAGCAGACTAAGATTTAATTTTTGAAAAAAAAAAAACTTTAACTGGTCGCTGCAATTACCTTTGATAAGCGGTACATTTGTTGCGAAACTCTTCGAATTGCTCCATCTGTTCGGGCGGAACGCGTTTCATCAATTGCGATAAAGGTATTGTTGTAAATAATTTCTTAGTAATACCCATTTCGGGGAATATATAAAAACGGCTCAGAGAAATTCAAAAAAATACTATGAAAATATTGATGTTAAAATCTTCAAAATTGAATGTTATAAGTAAAAATAATTTATTTTATTTATTATTATTCAAAAAGGAAATGATTGACTGTAAGAGTTTTCCGGACAATTAATAAATGGTAGGATTTGAGTGCAAGGTTATTATACTAATGTTTTAGCAACCGTTGCGTTCCCCATGTAAGATATACAATTAAGACATAATTTCTACACCTGTAAAACTTTTCTCAATTTAACTCCATAGCACGTTAACAGAATACCTAAAGTTAACAATTGAAAGACTTACGTGCTTGACGCAATCTAATTTATTGATTGATTAAGTCAAATGATGATTGTGCAGACATAGTTAAATAATTTCAAGTCCTCATGTTGATCAAGAGTATATATAACTAACAAAAGCCTTCTAGGATTTCGAAACTGTGTTACAAGCGCGCATATAAAAATCAGAAAATTATTTTAAATCGACCAGAACAGTAAAAGGTGGGTCTATATTAAGGCTCTTCGTGTCCTCCATACGTCCGGAAAAACTTAATATACCCTTTGCCCTAAGTGTGTGGTGTACTTGAATGGAAACGTGACTTGTAACAAATTCTCTCCTGCCTATGAGATTTTCAGTGCGGCCACTACGTCAAACTCAACTTTTCAAACTAAGTTATTAGAACTCAAAATTACTTGCAGTTACCATTATTTTATGCGAACTAACGATTCTTAAAGAGCTTTTGGAGATGTGTACCAATAACAGCGCACGCAGCGTGACAGACTAAATATTTTCTCTCCTTTAAATCAATAAAAGAAACAAAAGGTAAGTATTTCTTCAAAATTATTAAATTTGTTAGCGGGTACGGAAAACATAACGTGAGAGCAGCTTCACAAGTAGCGTATTAAAGCGTCAGCACAGTTTTTTGACTGAACTCTCCCATGCTTGTTTTCTTGAGTTCAACCTACAAGCCGCATTTTTTAAGATGTTTTGATGGAATTTAGTACACATAAAATGTTTTGGTCCAAGAACGAAGGCTACTGAAAATGCTTCTGAGTGGATCAGTTTTTCAACTATTTCCCAAATAATAACTTATTTTATATTGTAAGTTTAGGTAGGGCCTACTGAAGTGTTTCTACTTCTTGTTTCCGTTGCAGGTGCACCAAAGAGAGCCGGACGATAGATAGATAGATAGATGAAATAACAGCACTAAGTCTTCTCAAGACCTTATTCTACCCAAGAAAATATATACTAAAGGCAGCCTTCAACTTTGACATTTATATGAAAGAATGTCCCATAATCGATACAGGAAGTTAAATTATGAAGAAAACTGGAAATGAAAAAACATTTAGGGAACGATTATGGCAAATGTCCGTTTAAGTCGTGATGTAAGTAAACTTCAAATGAAAAAAAAAAAGATAAGATTTTATTTTGCAACTTATCTTTAGTAAGTTGAGTGTGGTTATCGTTTAGAAAAATGCAATTCAATCAATAGGCTGCAAATTGCTTCTAAATCGCATGCGATTTTTTGCTTTTTCTTTTTTTTTTTTGCATGCAAACAATTAAATTTTATTGTGCTTTTCATTCATTAATTCTAATAATAATCATATGGTGTTTGTCGTTTAGTTCGTATAGCAAGCTGAATAAATTTCCCTAAACATCTGTAGTATACCGAATATCAATAACAAATTTTCTATCTCCGTTTTGCCCATTTTTCATTCATATATTGCTTCGCATTTATTTCAGATGAAATATTTTTTTCTTCGTTTGTTTTGCTTATTAAAGGCAATTTTGTTGTTTTAAAAAGAGAAAATCAACAACTATTTTTTCCTTTTCTCCTTTGTGACAAGTGGAAATGAAACATGCGCATTTGAAGTGTCAACAATATTTCAACCCCTTTCTAAATATTATTTTCTCAAAGAGCAGAAGTGTTTGTATTTTTGCGCAGTTTTTTGACATTTCCATCATTTTCGTACTCTCTAAATATATGAAGCAAATACTAAAATAGCTGTCAAAAAATATTTCAAAAAAAATCTCTTGTTGAACAATTGCTGGAGAAAAGCTTGTAGTGTTTTATTAAAATTTTAAATATTTTTAAGTGAAAAGTGTTTCAAGACCATATGTTAAAGAGCAAATCAATCCTTGTTATGTTTTAAATAAATTCTGCGTAAAAAGTCAAGTCCATTTTATAGAAAAATCGAAAATTTTGCGGCTTGTGTTGTGTTTTCTTTTTTTTTTTTTTTGTTGGAAATACCTATTATTCCTTAGAGAGCCAGCCAATCCCTTTAATAAATTGTTTATTGAAAACAAAATTCGGTAAAACTGAAGTTTTTAAGAAATTTTATAATAAACGCTACCTTGTTTTTATTATATATGTTAGTATATATATTGTATATGTCATCATATTTAATAGAAATCGTGAAAGTGCTTAACAAATTTTTTGTGATGATGAAAAGTTAAGAGAAAATTTCCTAAATTTTTAGGAATTTGTAAAGAGGTGAGTATTTGCTTGATTTTAAGTGCGAAAATTATTGCTTACCTTAAAATTCTTTATTATTATTATTAATAAATAAATACGAATTTATTTATAAAACTTTTTGGGAAAAAATTGTGTTCAGCCTTTTCTTGTTCATTTACACTTGAATGCATGTATATATTAAAGGACAGAAGGACAAAAGGAAATTATTTACAATCTAAACTTGATGATATATGCTTCTCACAACTTCAATAAGAAACAAGTGGAAACTTTATAGTCCGGCTAATCCGACTATTAGTCCGACTTCAACACATTGTTTAACACAACTCTTATTTTTGCCATAGAATACGGCTTACTTTCCCTAAGAATGGTTACGCCCGAGAGGTTCAAAAACTCAGCACAGTTATTTTTTATATTAAACGGCTATTATGAGCCAATTTTCATCATAAAATATAAAAACTTGTTTCTGCCCTAAAAACAAAAATTTTCGAAAAAATCCTTGATAGGATGATAGCCAAAAAATAGGCCAAGGTGACCTAAATTTGGTATGGCTAATTTTTTTTTAATCTTAAATTATTGCTGTTATCTAACTTTCATCATGAAGCACTAAAAATTAGGCCCTGTTGTCCTATGAACATCCGTTCACCGGAGACACAAAAAATCGCCACGGTCGATCCAAATTTTCACACCACTTTAGAATGCCGAAGTATTATTATTACTTATCCACATTTGTTCCAGAAACTTTAAAACTCGCAATTTTTTTCATACAACGGACCGATCCAAACCATTTTAAACAGCGTGGGCCCTTGGGCAAAATTAAACCAGTGTATCAAATTTCGTCAATATATCTAAAAAATTGTGAGTTGCAGCTTGACTTTAAATTTACGTAGAAATGCACAAGATGGACAGACTTAAATAAATTTAGAAAACGATTCTCAATCGATCGGTACAATATAAGATGGGTCTGTCTTAAGCCCTTCCGCGAGTTACATATGTCCGCGGGAACTTAATTTTCCGTGCATCACTAGTGGCGTATAAAAACTGAACGAATTTTATAATTGAATCTTTCTTGTTCGCCATGCGATCCCGAGTTGACTTTGTGGCATTTACTTCTAAAAAATGATGAAAGCCGGGTTTATTCGCATATTGTCGCTCGATTCGTTTAAAATAGACGAAACAAAATAATAAAGAAAAGATTACGGATTATCATTGTAAGGAAGTATGAGTTGTATGTGCATCTCCTGAACTGGGGCCATGTGAGCGCTAAATTATCTTTTTTAAACCATAATCATAGCAACTTATTGCTTTTCATAAGCACTCTTCTCGAATTAATTTGTAATAAAAACCTCAATATTTGCGATTTAAATGCTTGATAAATGATGGTTTACATCAATCGTTCTCTATTTAAGAAGGTGCAGGTCTAGAAGGCAAAAGTCTCCCTCCAACCACCTTCAACAAACAAAGAACAAAAAAAAATAACACGAAACAACCTACACTACTTTACGTTATTCGTAATGACTTTCCAAATAAGGCGTTATATTGGGAAATCTCGACAAAGTGTTCTGGTCCGAGCCATTTTCAATAGCGTTTGTGCTTGGCCCAGAAAACGTAAGCGTAGCAAATTTCATCAGAACATATGAAAAATCGCGGGCTGTAGGCTACATATAATATAACACAGACAGACATGGCTTCAATTGATATAATGAAGGGTGGATCCATCTCATGTCCTGAATATTGCTTTGTACCACAAGTAACCCACAGTATCAAAAAAAAAATGTTTTTTATACAATTTTAATAGAACCCTGGATTTGCGCCAAATTTAAAATCGACTTCTGGATCAATCGTCCGTCGGAAAACTCACTTGCTGGACTTATATAGTGTAATAATATGGCCACGGATAACCCGACACATTGACGTATGCGAATATAAAGCCAATGTATTCTTCATTAGCTTGAATAACAACATCGATATAACCTTGTGTGTTCGTCTCTTCCTGAAATCTGCGTCACTGCGTCAAAAGTTTCGCTTGAAAAATGCGATTTCTCATCATCCTCGCTAAAGTAAGTTCGCAAATCAGTGAAATCAGTCCGTGATCGCTACCATGATTGGAAAAGAAAAGTTCATAATTTTCTTCGTTTTCGGTATTTTAAAGTGAGTTTGAGTCTTGATTGTGAAAATTGCCTGAACCGAATAAAGATATATACATATATATATATACATATATATGGCTAACGGCCAACTTTGTTATGGGGCAAATAAACAACTTCGCGTTCACGTCGAAGCTTTTCTATTCAGAAAAGTTAATCATTCGTTGATGATCTGCAGATATGCAGAAGAAGAAGAAGAAGAAGTGTTTCAAGACTAACAGCTATCCGAACTATAATGTTGAAATAAAAATCTCCAACTAGATTCGCTCTTTCTAATACTTTATGTATTCCTAATAAGAAATAAAAAATATATCTAAACATGTCCTTCAGCAGCTTGTAACTTGTAACGTTAG